CGCGAGGCCGCCCCGCCCGGGCCCCCGGGCCCGCCGCCGCCGCCCCCCGCCGCCTCCGGCCCGGGCCCCGCCGCCGCCGCCGCCGCCGCGCCCCACCTGCTGGCCGCCAGCATCCTGGCCGACCTGCGCAGCGGGCCCGGCGCCGCCCCGGGGGGCGCCTCGCCCGCCTCCTCGTCCTCGGCCGCCTCGTCCCCGTCCTCTGGCCGCGCCCCCGGCGCCGCGCCCGCCGCCGCCAAGAGCCACCGCTGCCCCTTCCCGGGCTGCGCCAAGGCGTACTACAAGTCCTCGCACCTCAAGTCGCACCTGCGGACGCACACAGGTGAGCCCCGGCCCGCGCGCGCGGCCCCCGCGCCCCGCCCCCTCCGGGACCCCCGAACTGCGTGGCGCGTGGGGGGCGGGGAGGGGGGCGCGCCCGGGCCGCCGCCGCGCCGGCCGGGAGGGCGGGGCCTCGGTGGGTGGGGCGCGCGCAGGGGGCGTGGCGGCCACGCGGTCGGGCGGCGCGCGGTTGGCGGGCGAGGCGGTGGGGCCGCGGGGCGCGCGGCGCGGCGGGGTCCGTGGGCGGCCCCGGGGCGCTGGGCCGTCCCCTCCCCCGCGGCCCCGTTTCTCTCTTGTGTCCTGGCGCGTTCGTGTCTGCGGAGGGGACACCGTGGCGGGGGCGCGCAGCTCGCGGGTTGCGCCGGCGCCCGGCCCCTGCCTCGGTTTCCCCGTCCGTGGAGCGGGGGAGGAGCCGCGAGGCCGCCTCCGGGTGGCAGCGAGGATCCGCCCCGGCAGGCAGCAGAGCGCCTGGAGCGGGGGCCGGGCTGGGGGCGCTCCCCGCGGTTCTTGTTTTTAATAAGGCGGGGGGGGGGGGGGGGGCGGGGGGCGGGGCTGGGAGTGCGCGCCGGGGCCTGAGTGGGGGGGGAGCCTCCAGGGAGTCAGGTCCTCGCGGTAGGTGGCAGGGCGGATTGGGAGGATTCAGCGACCCTTGTCATCCTCCTTGTTCCCCTCCGGGTGCACCATCGTGCACCCTGAGGGTTTGGGTGGGGGCTCGGGGAAGGTGGGCCTTGGTGCCTGGCCAGGGCGCGAGGATTGAGGGGGGTCCTGCCCTCCGGGAAGGGCAGGGGAGCAGGGGTGGGCGTCTGGGCACCGGCTGGGAGGATGCACTCGGGTTCCAGCTCTGCCGCTTACAGGCCCGTGACGAACTGCAGGCCTCAGTGTTTTCATCTGTGTAAAGGGTGCGTGGGCTTCTGCCTTCCGAGGGTGGCTGGGAGGGTCATGAGCAGCCCTGGTGCTGTGCATGCTCCAGTTGTAGAGAGGGTTCGAGAAAGCAGGCTGGCCCTAGGGTGTGGTGGTGGGGACGCAGCCTGGGCAGCCCCAGGCCCCTTGCACGGCCTCCTATGCCAGGCAGGCAACCGCGGCCCGTGCACCGTCTCCTGGGCCACCCTCATCCCTGTCCACGGGGCCTAGATGCTCTGCCCCACTTGTGGACACACAAGAGGGCAGCACAGCCAGGGCCGACGTGGGGTGGCATCGCTGTGTGCTCCTGGAGCCCCCGTCTTCCCTGAGCCACACTGAGGTGTGCGTGTCTGTGGGAAGGACGTCTGGAGTCCCTGAGACGGGGGAGGCCCTCTCTGGGGCCCCGGGGGGGGGAGATTCCTTCCTGGGATGGGGGGCACTGGGGTCTGAGCGGGGCCCTGCTGGCCCGTCTGAGTGCAGGGGTGCCGCGGTGGGAGGCTGGCCAGAGAGGGAGAGGGACCGCGATCCTCCTGTCCCACGTCTGTCCTGTCACCAGTCCTCGCTAGTTGTCGGGTGGTGAGCCCCCCCCCCCCCGTGTCATGATCTGTTTTTTCCCTTTTCTGGGTCCTGTCCAACTTCTGGGTGGGCAGGAGGGGGCGGCCAGGCCACCTCCCAGCTCGGGTCTCAGGAGGCGTTTCTGCGGGGTGTCCCCGAATCCTGCAGACCCTCGTGGGCCCGGCGGTGGGGGCGCCTCTCTCCACGTTGCCGCTCGTGTTTTAAATGAGGAATTGAGGTTCCTCAGCCGGGCCGGGGGTGTCCCGGGAAGGGCGCCATCCCTGCCGGGTCCCTAGTCCCCGGGGAGCTGTGGCTCTGGGGTCCTGTGTGCGAGCCCCCTTTGTGCTGTGGCGGGGCAACCCAGAGGGCGCAGCTCCCGGGCCGGCTGCTGCTGGGGAGGTTGGAAGTCCTGACGTGGGCGCCCTGGGCGCTGTTTCCCGAGGGTTCCAGGCGCCCGTGTTCTTGAGACCGTGCGCTCAGCGTCTCCGCCACCCCCAGGGCCACGAGGCCTAAAGGCCCTTTTAGGCGTTTTTGGTCCTGGTAGAGGGGACGCTGCCCTTCTGCCCGGCTGGGCACCGCGTCCCAAGGCCAGCGTGGTGCTGCCCACCGCCAGGGACGGGCCTGGCGACAGATTGATGAGGAATGGTGACCCGAGGTCAGCTGGGTCACCCGCAGAGGGCCCTGGGGAGAGAGCCCTGCCTTCCCCTCTTGCCTGAGGACCCCTCTTTGTGAAGGGAACCCGTCTGGCCTCGCCCCGTTCTACAGAGGAGCAGACTGAGGCACGGAGCAGGGCCTGGCCAGAGCCGAGTGTGGCACCCCGTGTCCCCGCTCCGTGTGGCATCGGGGGGGGGGGGGTGAGGCCGGGTGGGCCATGGGTCCTTTGGCGGGGCCACCAACTGCAGGGGCAGGGCTGCCGTGTGATCCCCCAGGTCTGGTCTGCAGCCCCAGCGTGGAGCTCTCCTGTGTGGGGTGGGGCAGGACTTTGGAAGCTTCAGGAAAAGTTGACGCCGTAGCTATGGAGACGGAGAGAGGAGAGATGGGGCGGGGGCGGAGGAGAGGCTGCCTGTCTACTCCCTGCTCTCCCAACCTCCACATCCCTGTCCTGCCCCGGAGCCCCTGCCGGTGCTGGTGCCAAGCAGGCGGCGAGCCGTGTCCCTCCCGGGGTCTCAGGCTCCTTCCAGGCCCGAGGGAGCTCGGATGTGGACGTGGAGCTTCTAGGCCAAGGTCTGATCCCCAGGGCCCAGCCTTCTCTGCGGGCGTCCAGGCACGGGGGCTTCAGCAGCATCGCTGGCCACACCCACTCGGTGCAGAAACCTCCCCAGTTGTGACAGTGACAAGTGCTCCCTGAGGGAGTTGCAGGCTCACCGCCAGGCGAGACCCCCAGTTTTCCTGTAAAACCCGGTCTCCTGAAGTTTGAGGACCATTAGGTGAGCACGTAGTGTGTGCAGGGTACTGTGGGGACAAGCCAGCCCCTGGGCCCCAGGCCAGGGGCCTGCGGAAGGAGGTGACAGCAGCAGGCATGGAGAAGAGGCCTCTCCTGGTGATGCCGAGGGGTCCTGTGGGGCAGGAAGGGGTGTGTCCCGGGACAGGGGACTATGCCCTGGCTGCAGGGGCTGGTGGTAAGGGCCCTGGGGCCTGAGTTTTGAGGATGAGGTGTGAGGTAGGGAGGGTCAGAGCAGGTGAAGGGTTTCATTTAATCCCAAGGGCAGGGTGGAGGGTGGGCAGGAAGGCAGGCCCGGCTTTGCAGAGGAAAATCCGTTTATGGAACAGGGATTAGGGTCCCTGGAGAGAAGTTGAGGAGGGCAGGCTGCCGGCCTGGGAGGGAGAGGGTGGGCCAGCCCACAGGCTGGGTGCAAGGAAGAAGCCCCAGGGCACGGAGGGCGGGAGGTGGCCTGAGCAAACCCTAGTGTTTCTGAGCAGCCTGAGAGGAGCAGGGCGGCAGCGGCAGTGTTCTTGGCTGAAGAGAGCCCCAGGGGAGAGGCAGATGGGGAAACTGAGGCCCAATGGGGCGATAGCCACAGCCCTCCGAGGGCTGAGTGGGCAGCAGACCCTCCCCTCCTGCGCCCGGCAGCACTGAGAGCTTCTTTAGGGACAGGCGGGCCCAGGGCACTGGTGGCCTGGGGGGGGGGTAGGGAAGGGCAGTGCCAGGCCTGGGGGGGTGGGAGTGGCCTGTGAGCTCCACCTAACCTCCAGCAGGCAGAGTGCAGCTGGAACTGGGGAGTGGGGGAGGGCCCCCAACATTGTGGGGGGCGATAACCACCCCCCACCCAGGCTCCCTGATAAAGCTGGCCCAGATGGCCTGGAAGCTGGCGGATGATACCAGTGCGAGGAGCTGGCTTCCCTGGGCGTGAGGGGGTGGGGGGTGGGGGGCGGCCTTTAACCGCGGCCCGGGCTGTTCCAGGACAGCAGGTCTCCCGTCACGCGTGCTGGGGGGCGGGGAGGGGGCTGTGGCAGTCGTCACCCCTCACCGCAGGCTCGGCGAGCCCCTGTGCCAGACGCCAGTTTGGGTGGGCGGCGGGCCGAGGCAGTGTGGGCCTTGGGGGGCCGGGCTGGAGGGGGGGCTTCTGAAGAATCGGTGGGGACAGCAGCTCATGGGGGGGGGGCAAGATGATGGGCGACTGTTAGCTGCTGCTGCGGCCGGACTCTGCCTGGAGACCCCGGGGGTGCCCATGGCATGTGCGGCCTGTGCCGCCAGGTGAGGGGGCAGGTACCTAGGAGAGGCCACGCACAAGGTCAGAGAAGCTGAGAAAGGGGACAGTGGGGTGCTGCACCTGGGGTGGGAGAGGAGGTGCTGGGGAGAGGAATGGTGGTGGGGCTGCCGAGAAGCCCACAGACGGTGAGGGGACCCAGGTAAACCCTTTCGGCTTTGATCTTGGCTCAGGGAGTCGCCCTGGGAGGTTTTGGGGCACAGCACACGCTGGGTGGCTCAGCCACAGCTGACGGGCCACTGCGTGAGTCCGGGTGAGAGGGCCTGAGTCCCGAGCCGCCGTGGGGGCTGGCGGGTGGCGGGAAGGGGCTACTGGTGGGGTTCGCTGCCAAGGACCATGCGGGCCAAGACCAGGGGTTCAGGTGGGCCAGGAGGTGCCCCGCCTCAGGTTACCATGGCAACAGCACAGCGATTGAAAGGAGAAGGTGGGGGGAGGTGGGGGAGGTGGGAAAGCCTTGGGTGTGCGGGGGAGGGGGCAGGCGGGGCCCAGGGGCTGGCTGGGGGCTGCAGCATCACTCTTGGTCTCAGGGTGAGGAGTTCCGGCCCGCGGTGGGCGTGGGGACGACTTCGGGCACCCGAGCACCTGCGGGTGGGCCGTGCCCTGCTCTTCGGACCTCCGCAGCTTCCCAGCCTTCTGCTGCACCCCTCAACTGCTCCTTGGGCGCTCTCGGGACTCAGGAAGCCCCTGGCGCTCCCTGCCCTCTGCAGCAGCCTCCCCGTGCTCCTCGGGCCACCTGGTAGGGGGCATTCGTGGAGGTCAGCTGCGGTCACACGTCCCTCTGTCCCCGTCGGGATGACCTCAGGAGGTCGCGGGGAAGGCTGGCTGTCCAGCCGGGCCAGAGGGCCTGCACCCCGGGGCGGCCAAGCGGTCCTGGCCCAGGTGGCTCCCTCGTGTTACCCGCATCAGGTCCCCGGGACCTCTTGGCCTGTATGTTTCGGAGCCTGCTGGGCACCGCCGTGACGCCAGCTGCCCCCGGGTCACCCCAGCCCAGCCCGAGTCAAAAGGTCACGTCCGTGCCTGTGGCCTCTGAGCCTCCTGGGCGCCCCCCACCGTGGGAGGGGAGGCGGGTGTCCGCGGGCCCAGCACCGGGGCCACCCACGTGCGCACGTGAGCTCCCGGGAGGGTGTGGGGTGGGGCCGGGAGTCGCCCCCCCAGCGGAGGGGCCACGTGAGCGAGCGAGCGGCCGCTGTCCCCGGGCTACGTGCGGCAGCTGTGTTCCGGCGCCGCGTGCGCCCGCTCCTGCAGCTCCTGCAACCTGCTGGCGGCGGAGGGGAGGAGGGGCGGCGGGGGAGGGAGCCCGCGGCCCTGCCGGTCCCCCGCGCCCTGCAAGATGGCGACAGCACCCGCCACCGCCGCGACCCGGGCCGCCGGCCGGGCCCTTCCCTGGACCTGTCCCCCGCCCCCCGGATTGTTCCAGGGAAGGCGCGCGCGCGCGCGCGCTCCCGAGGTCTCGCGCACAGTCGTGTGAGCGCCCCTGCCCCCCTCCCCCTGCAGGTGACACTGGCACACGGGTCCCAGCGTCCTGGCAGGGCGCCCGCAGGGGGGCACTGGCGGCCGGGAGCCCCGCTCCTGCCGTGGTGCTGGGGGTGGCGCTGGGGGTGGCGGCAGCAGGGAGGGGCAGGGAGCGCTCGGTGCAGCTCTTCCCTGGGGGGCAGGAGCCCCCTGCCTCTCCCGCCCGTCACCGTCACCGCGGGGCAGCCCCTTAGCTTTCGAGCAGGGGTGTCACTGCGTCACCCTGGGGGTCCAGGCCCCGCCCCGCCCCCCGCGGTGCTGTCCTCCCTGCCAGGCCTGGTTACCTAGGCCCCCCTGGGGCCTGTGGGGGGGGGGGCTTGAGCAAGGTTCCAGGCCGAGCACCCCTCTGGGAGCGCCCCCAGGGTCGCCCTGAGTCCCCACAGCGCCCAGCGCGGCCCAGTGTGTAACCCGCGGGTGCCCAGCCTGAGCGCGTGGCTGCCCCGGAGTCCGCCCGCTGCCTTTGTCCGGGGCCCCGTCCAGTGCCACCAAGGGTGTTGCACCGGGTGGTGGGCGCCGCGGCTCTCGGGGCCACATTCTGCCCACCCCCCCACCGCACCCTCTCCCAAACTCCTGGGCGAAGGGCGGCTGGGGAGTCCAGGGTCCCAGGTCCCTGGCGCAGGGTGCAGGGCTGCAAGCTGCGGGATCCTCGCGGCCTCTGGGCCTGGGCCCTGGGGGGGGCCCTCGGTGCACCCAGCCTGAAGGTGGGCCCTGGGCGCCCCCGGGTCCGCCGGGAAGGTGCTGACAGCGCTGGCTGGGTCGGGCTGAACCCTTTGGGGCCGAGACCCCAGACGCGGGGGGGGGGGGGGGGGGCGGGGGACGGGACAGGCACTGGGGCCGGTGGAGGCCGCCCGGGGCAGGATGGGCGAGGCCGGCCTGGGAGGTGGGAGGGGTCTGCGGAGGAAGTCGCTGGGTGAAGGCCCGCCCCGCCCCGCCCGCCCCTCCCCGCAGTCTGTTCCGTGGGGGCGGGGTTAGGCCGGTGGCGCCGTGCAGGCCCTCCCCTTCCTGGCCCTGCTGTGACACGCCGGGGACAGCCTCTGCTGGGGTCTCGTGTCCTTTTCCCCCAGCCCCCGCGCCGGTCTGTGGGGCTGCAGGTGGCCCTGGGGCCCTTCACGTGTCCCTGCAGCTATAGAGGGGCCCAAGGGTCCGTGGGCGGATGCGGTGTGGGAATCTGCCCAGACACCCCCTCCACCCGCCCTTGCACCGAGGTGGTCATTTTCACAAGGAGAGGGTTGCTGGGGCGGCGAGGCCCCAGAGCCTCCTGCATGCCCCTCGGGACAGCGGGGGTGGGGACGGCAGGACCCATTTGCATGGGGAGAAGCCCCGCTGAGCGGCACCTGTGCCCGCCGCGGCCTGTGGCGGTCGTGCCCTGGGAGGCGGGCGCCCGCTCGCTCGTGGGCTTCCTGCAGGTTCCGAGGCGGCAGGGGGCAGGGCCGCTCCGAAGGGGCTTTTCTTTGCACAGTGACAGGTTTTCAGTTCTCGCCCAGGGCGCAGCCCCTAGCACGGGGGTGGGGGTGGGGGGGGACAATGCCCAGGACCCCAGGGATCTGCCGAGACCGCCGGGCGCTGACGACCCCTGTCTGTCTGTCTGTCTGTCTGTCTCCCCTCTGCCCAGGCGAACGGCCCTTTGCCTGCGACTGGCCGGGCTGCGACAAGAAGTTCGCGCGCTCCGACGAGCTGGCGCGCCACCACCGGACCCACACCGGCGAGAAGCGCTTCCCCTGCCCGCTCTGCTCCAAGCGCTTCACCCGCAGCGACCACCTGACCAAGCACGCGCGCCGCCACCCCGGCTTCCGGCCCGACCTGCTCCGCCGCCCCGGCGCCCGCAGCACCTCGCCCAGCGACTCGCTGCCCTGCAGCCTGGCCGGCAGCCCCGCGCCCAGCCCCGCGCCCAGCCCCGCGCCCTCCGGCCTGTAGGGCCCTGGCCCAGCCCTCCCTGCCGCACCCCTGCTGGGCCTGGGCCCCGAGCACCAGCAAAACGCCCGCTGGCCACAGCCAGGGGCCGGCCACGGCCGCACTGGACCGCAGGTGGCCCGGGAGGGGGGCGCCGGTCTGTAAATAGCCGTGTTGGATAACTCTTCCTCTGTGTTAACCAGGAACCCCGGGGGCGGCCAGCAGGCGCTCCCCTCCCCCCCGCCGCCACCGCCCAGCCTCGGAGAGGGTGGGTGTGGGGGGGCGCGGCCCAGGAGGGGTGCACCTAAGCAGTGCTCAGACTTGGCCCCCTAGCCCCCCCCTCCAGGTAGGGACGACGTGTTCAAAGAGCCATAGGTGAACCAGGGGTCACCGCGGCCCCCCACCCCCACCCCACTGAAAGCCATTGGAGATGTTCAGGGATCCGGGGTGCGGCTCCGGCCGCCCCCATCCGGGTACTCAATCTCAGGTGTCCACAGGTTCTCCCCTGCCACCCAGCTCCCCGGCAGGGGGCGGGAGGGCAGCGGGGAGGCAGGGAGGGGGGGAGGCAGGAGGGTCCAGGTTTTGCTCCTATGACAGGGGTAGGGAGGGGGAGAGAGGGGTTCTTCCAAAGAGCATGTGACTCACACGGAGGGGAGGTGGATACCGGGCTGCGCTGCAGCAAATGCCTACTTATTTATTTTCCTCTGTCTCTGCTGGTAGGAGGGGGGGTCAGCGAGCGGCCCCCATGGGTGGGTGGGTATGAGTGTGAGTGAGGCCCGCTCCTGGCAGGGCACAGTCCCCAACTTTGGCCTTCCACAGCATCGCGTGACAATCAGTCCCTCCGTTGGGACCAGGACAGCCATCGAGCGTCAGGTGCCCCTTCCCGGCAGGTGGAGGCCCGGGGCCGGCTCCATCCTGCCACCAGCCCTTCTTCCTGGCGGGTGCCCCTGGACGGAGGTCGAGGGCCTGCCTGCAGGGCAGGAAGCGCGAGGGCTGACCCCTGAACCCCGTGGGATAGCTCGTTTTTTTGGACCGGGTAAAATATTTTTTCAGGCCCCAATCCCTTTCTTGATCTGGGCCCCGTGGGTGGTCCGTTGTCCTCAGGGGGTGTGGGTGTTGGGGGAAGGTCTGCGTGACCTGAACGGGGTGTGCAGGGGTGAGCCCCGTGGCCTCTCTTGGGGTCTTCCCGCTGTGGCTCTGGTTGTATTTCACTCTGGACAGGGATTGAGGACCCCGGCCCTAGAAGGGGGAGGACCCCTCCCCGTCCCTGGGCTGCGTCCTGCTCTTGGCTGCCGGAGCTTTGTGGCCCCGACGCGGGTTCCAGGACCTTTCTGTCTCCCCTTTGAGGGCTGGTGGCGTTGGTGTGGACTGGACCCGGCCTGGCAGGATCCAGGGATGGGTGCCTGGGGTCCTGGGGAGGGGGCCAGAGAAGGCCCCCGTTTTGCAGCAGCGCTGGGAAGGGTCTCCTTGGCCAGTCTGGGGGGGAATCCTTGCCCGGCGGCCCGTCTGTGCCCACACCTTCCTTCCCAGCGTCCGGCGAGATGCCTTAGTCTGCGGGGGCAGGCTGGGGTCCCCTTTCCCCCTGTGTCTTATGGATGTCCTCTGGATCGCCCCATCCCTGGCTGGTGCCTCTCACAGGAGGGGGACCATGGGTCCGAGGGCCCAGGAGGCTGAGGACTTGTCCAGGGACCTGGAGAGACCCGTGCCCCTCCTCCCCCAAGGAGCTCGGGGCCACTGGGACCTGGTTGCAGCCGCTGAGCTGTGGCATCGCGAGGGGGGAGGGGGAGGGGCTCCCAGGGACTCGTGCTTTCAGGTCACCCCCCCCCCCCCCCCCCCCCCGCCTGGCCTCTTCCTTGTATTTAATTAAACCCTTTTTTAAACCCGACTCTGGTGTCTGCATCGTTTTTGCCCCCTCAGCCTGGAGTCCCTGTGACCCTGGTCACGCGCGTAGCCCCCTCCGCCCCGCGCCACCCACGCCCCGCGCAGCTGCGCCCCCTCCCCCTCCCGCTCGTTACCCGGCAACCGCGGCGCGGTGACACGGCGCCCGCCCCCTCCGCACCCGCACCCGCCCGCGAGCTGGGGAGCCGCGCCTCCCCAGGGCCCGGGACCCCGCCCTCCGCCTGCCCCTGGAGGGGGCTGCACGGGGGGGGGGGGGGCGGTGACCGCAGGGGGCCCACAGGCCGGCAGAGCCGCCGGCCGCCCCCACTCCGGAGGCCGCCCAGTTGCACCCCCCTAACCCCTCCTTCACTTCCCCCTTTGCGCCCCTGTCCCACTGGCCCCCTCCCTCTCCAGCTGCCTTTTCCGCCCCTTGGGGAGAGTCCCTGGAATTCGGGGCGCACGCACGCAGCCCCCCCTCCCGCCTCTCGGACACGGTCCCACGGGCTCCGAACAGCCCGAGGGGGTCCCCTCCTACCCTCTGGGCGCTCCCCGGTCACGCGGCCTCGGGACCCCTGACCCTCCTGGGTCCCCCCAACCGCGGGCTCCGGGCCCCCTAGCAGGCGCACACCTCCGGTGGTGCCCACGACACCCGCGAGGCCTCACCGTCGGCTCCAGGCTGCCACTGGCACCTCCGCCCTTCCAGGCCCGCAGGCCCAAATCCTTGGGGTCACCCGACCTTGACCCCTGCTGGCTCCCCACATCCATTCCTACCGCACGTCTCCCCGGCCCTATCATCAAGGCACATCCCCCCAATCGGCCCACTTGCACCCCGTCCTGCGCTGCCGCTCTGCCCACCGGGGCCTGGCAGTGTCCTCCCCCTGGTCCCTCTGGGCGCGCGTCCCCGCTGTCCCCCCCCCAGTCCGCTCTCCCCGCGGCGGCCACCGGGGGGCGCCCTTCAGGTCCCGCCCCCCTCCACTACCGCCTGCCTGGGGGAAAGCCCAGGGCCCACCAGGGTCCCCGAGGCCCTGTGCGGCCTGCCCCCATCCCCCCCCCCCCCCGTGCACTCCTCCTCTCTCCCCCGTGCTCTCTCTGCTCCAGCCACGCGGATCTCCTCTCTGTTCCTCCACCACGCAGCCCCGGTGCTGCCCCAGGGCCTTTGCACAGGCTGTGCCCGCTGCCTGGGCTGCCCTCCCCCTCTTGACCTTCTTCAGAACTGCTCAAATCGCACCCTCCCTCCCCAGACTGCTAGGTGGGCCACCTCTTTTCTCATTCTTGCCCTGTACAGGACACCTCTCCTCCCCAGCACTGGGGTCACGCATTTCCAGCTGTCTGCCTCCGCGGCCTAGAGCGCCACCTCCACCAGGGTGGGGATCTTTCCCTGGTTCGCCCACGTCTCCAGCAGCAGGTCTGGCACGTGGTGGGTACTCAGTGAGTATTTGCCCCGTGGACGGCCACGGCCAGGGAGCATGGATGGAGACTAGGTGGGCTCGCGGGGGCACCTGGCTTCGCCCCACACGCCCTGGGGCCTGCCTCCCTGCTGCCGGTGATGACGGGTGTTGGGGGACCCCTGTGTGGGGGCCCAAGGCAATCAGCCGCCGGTGGCCCCGGGGGCCAACTGTTCACAGAGCGGCTGGGACTTGCCTTGTTTATGCGACATCTCCCCGGGTCTTAAACCTGGGCGACCAACAAATCAGCGTCGTTTGAAAAACTTGTTCTCAACAAAAAACCCCTGGTGCCCAGACACACACTGAAAACACGCACGCACGTCTGCAGCTGCACGATGCCCGGAGGTGTGACAGCTCAGATGCCCTTCGACAGATGAACGGACACGCAGGACATGGGCCATGTTCCCATGGGCACGTCCCCGGTCCCCGAGCAGGAGCGAGGCCTCCACACGCCCCAGGGACGGACCCCGAGCCCCCGACGCTCAGGGAGGGCACCAGACACAGGAGGCCCCATGGGATGGGAGTCCACGTGTGTGACACGTCCAGGACAGGCTCGTCCACGCACGGGGAAGGGGCTGGGGGGTGATGGAGCGGTGACCACTGATGGGGCCGGGGTTTCTTTTTGGTTTCAAAATATTCTGGAACGACATAGAGGTGACGGTTGCGCAGAATAGCGAATGTACCAAATGCCGCTGAATTTTCACTTCTAGGATGGTTACCTTTGGAGGCGCGTGGCTGGCTCGGAGCACATGACGCCCTATCTCAGGGCCGTGAGTTCACGCCCCACGGGGGCTGTAGAGATTACTTAAAAATAAAATCTTTTAGGGGATCTCTGGGTGGCTCAGCGGTTTGGTGCCTGCCTTTGGTCCAGGGCATGATCCTGGAGTCCCGGGATCGAATCCCACATTGGGCTCCCTGCATGGAGCCTGCTTCCCCCTCTGCCTGTGTCTCTGCCTCTCTCTCTCTCTCTCTCCCTCTCTAGGTCTATCATGAATAAATAAATAAAATCTTTAAAAAAATAAATAAAATCTTTTAAAAAATAATAAAGTAATCAATTTTTTTTTTTTTTATAGTCACAGAGAGAGAAAGAGAGAGAGGCAGAGACACAGGCAGAGGGAGAAGCAGGCTCCATGCACCGGGAGCCCGACGTGGGATTCGATCCCGGGTCTCCAGGATCGTGCCCTGGGTCAAAGGCAGGCGCCAAACCGCTGCGCCACCCAGGGATCCCAGTAATTAATTTTGTTAATGTGAACTTCCTCTAAATAAAACAAAGGAACAATCCACTGAGTGGAATAAAGCCCAGGGGTACCCTGCCTTCCATTCGCCTCTGCCTGCGGTTCTTGTTGTCCCCACCAGAGTCTAAGCCCAGGGGGCACGTGTCACGTGCAGTCCTCTGCATCCCCCTTAGAGTCGAGGCCATGCTCATTGCATCACAGTCATTGACCCATTTTACAGAGACGTGTCGTAGCCCCCATGTCCGGCTGGGTGCCGACCCTGAGGTCCCGGGTCGGTGAGTGGACCGCTGGCAGGTGAGAATGAAATCCCTGCGTGGTCGAGAGCGGGGGCCTGCGGGGCTGCGGGGTGCTGGTGCCCGTCCCGGGGAGCCAGGGGAGTGTCGCGGGAAGAAACCCACCTGTGTCCTTCACTGCGACCCGCGTGGCTCCCCACGCCCTCCTGCCTTGGACAAGGACCTTCACGGAGTCACAGCACCAAGCTCTCCCGCCTGGGTGCCTGTGCAAGAGAGTCCCAGGCAGGGGGGCCTGGGGGACTCATTTGATTGAGCCTTAGTCTCAGGTCATAATCCCGGGGTCCTGGGTCGAGCCCCACGTCGGGCTCCCTGCTCAGGCAGGAGTCTGCTTCTCCGTCTGCCTCTGCTACTCCCCACCCAGCTCAGGCTCTGTCTTGCTCTTTCTCTCTACTAACTAAATAAAATCTTTAAACAAAAGAAAGTCTCATGCCTAGAACCCCCCCCCCCCCGCAATACTGCACGCAGCCTTCCACTGTCAACACTCACTGCATTTCAAACCAGGGACTCTTGCTGATAGGCCCGCAGAGGCAAGAGGTCTCTGCCCCAGGGCCCACTGGCGAGCCAGAAGACATTTTTGTTTTTTGTTTTTGTTTTGTTTTGTCTTGTTTTTGTTAAAGATTTCATTTATTTATTCATGAGAGACACACAGAGAGAGAGGCAGAGACACAGGCAGAGGGAGACGCAGGCTCCATGCACCGGGAGCCCGACGTGGGACTCGATCCCGGGTCTCCAGGATCTCGCCCTGGGCTGAAGGCGGCGCTAAACCGCTGCGCCACCCAGGGGTCCCCAGAAGACAGATTTTGGACAAAAAATTAGATTGTGTCCTCTGGAGCAGTCATCTCTGACCCTCTCCATCCCACCTGCCCTCCATCACTGTACCGCTTAGTTATTTTGTAATTGTGGTAAAAATACGTCACATAAAATGTTCATTGTAACCGTCTCTGAGGGCAGCTCAGGGCACGGAGCACTCACCCCGCCGTGCACCCCCCACCCACCCCCATCTCCAGAACCTTCCATCTCCCCATACGGAGGCCCTTCCCAGGAAGCACTGAACCCCCCCCCGCCCCCGCCCCCGCCCCTGCCCCACCCCTGGCTCCCACCACCTCCTCTCTGTGTCTGTGGACGGGCCTCCTCTGGGGACCTCCTGGGAGTGGGGTCCTGCAGGAGGCGTCCTTCTGGGTCTGGGTCTCCTCCCCGAGCCCGATGTCCTTGGGGTCCGTCCACGTCGGGGCAGGTGTCCGGGCCCCTTCCTTTCTTCTTCGGTGAATAGTAACAGTCCATTAGCTGGATCTACATTTTGTGCATCCAGTCACCCGTTGATAGATAACGGCTGTTCCCCCTCCTTGGCTACTGTGAATCCTGCTGCTGTGAACAGGGGTGTGCACATAACTCTTCGGGACCCTGTTTTCCTTTTTTTTTTTTAAAGATTTTATTTATTTATTCATAGAGAGAGAGAGAGAGAGAGAGAGAGAGGCAGAGACACAGGCAGAGGGAGAGGGAGAAGCAGGCTCCATGCAGGGAGCCCGATACGGGACTCGATCCCCGGGTCTCCAGGATCACACCCCAGGCTGCAGGCGGCACCAAACCGCTGCGCCACCAGGGCTGCCCGGGACCCTGCTTTCCATGCTCTCCGATACGCACCCAGAAGTGGGGTTGCTGTGTCATATGGTAGTTCTAGCTTTGGACTTTTTTTTAAATGTTTATTTATTTATGATAGTCACAGAGAGAGAGAGAGAGGCAGAGACACAGGCAGAGGGAGAAGCAGGCTCCATGCACCGGGAGCCCGACGTGGGATTCGATCCCGGGTCTCCAGGATCGCGCCCTGGGCCAAAGGCAGGCGCCAAACCGCTGCGCCACCCAGGGATCCCTAGCTTTGGACTTTTTGAGGACCCTCCATCCTGTGTTGCAGACTGGCTGCAGCATTTTGTAATCCCACCATCAAGCAATGGGTCAGTCTCAAAAAAAAATTTTAAGTAAACGCTATGGCCAACCCGGGGCTCGAACTCACCATCCTGAGATCAAGAGTCCCAGGGCCCATGGACTGAGCCCACCTGACACCCCATTCTCAATAGTTCATTAGGATGTTGGCCTTCCCCACCAGGCTGTGAGCCTGCCCTCGGCCCACCTTGTCCCTGGTTTGTCTGGTTCAAGGGAGCATCTAGGGCAGAGGCTCACATACAGCAAGCACTCGGTTTCTTGTGAGCAAATGTGTGAGAGCAGGATTCCTGTGGGCGTGCCGGTGGGCGTGAATGTAGGCGTGCACGTGGGAGCCCAGGTGGGCGTGAATGTAGGTGTGCATGTGGGAGCCCAGGTGGGTGTGCAGGGGGGGGCCAGGTGGATGTGAATGTAGGCGTGCACGTGGGAGCCCAGGTGGACGTGAATGTAGGCGTGCACGTGGGAGCCCAGGTGGGCGTGAATGTAGGCGTGCACGTGGGAGCCCAGATGGATGTGAATGTAGGTGTGCATGTGGGAGCCCAGGTGGGTGTGCAGGGGGGGGCCAGGTGGACGTGAATGTAGGCGTGCACGTGGGAGCCCAGATGGACGTGAATGTAGGTGTGCATGTGGGAGCCCAGGTGGGTGTGCAGGGGGGGGCCAGGTGGATGTGAATGTAGGCGTGCACGTGGGAGCCCAGGTGGGCGTGAATGTAGGCGTGCACGTGGGAGCCCAGGTGGGCGTAAATGTAGGCGTGCACGTGGGAGCCCAGGTGGGCGTAAATGTAGGCGTGCACGTGGGAGCCCAGGTGGACGTGAATGTAGGCGTGCACGTGGGAGCCCAGGTGGGCGTGAATGTAGGTGTGCATGTGGGAGCCCAGGTGGGTGTGCAGGGGGGGGCCAGGTGGATGTGAATGTAGGCGTGCACGTGGGAGCCCAGATGGACGTGAATGTAGGTGTGCATGTGGGAGCCCAGGTGGGTGTGCAGGGGGGGGCCAGGTGGACGTGAATGTAGGCGTGCACGTGGGAGCCCAGATGGACGTGAATGTAGGTGTGCATGTGGGAGCCCAGGTGGGTGTGCAGGGGGGGGCCAGGTGGATGTGAATGTAGGCGTGCACGTGGGAGCCCAGGTGGGCGTGAATGTAGGCGTGCACGTGGGAGCCCAGGTGGGCGTAAATGTAGGCGTGCACGTGGGAGCCCAGGTGGGCGTGAATGTAGGCGTGCACGTGGGAGCCCAGGTGGGCGTGCAGGGGGCGTGCAGGTGGGAGGCACGAGGCCCTCCCTGACAGCCAACTGTACAGCAGGGCGGGGGTGGGTTTTCGGGGGAACTCTGGGAGATGCGCCCGCAGGACTCGCCTCCTCCAGCAGGGGGCACTTCAGGGCAACACTAATAAAACGCAAATTAGAAGCAAGGGAATGACAGCTGGGTCCTGAGGGAGGTTTTTTTTTTTTTTTCTTTCTGGTCAGGCGCGCGGTGGACAGCCCCGGCGCCGTCGGGGCCTCGGGCCGAAGATGGCTGAGCGGCCGCCTCGGGGGGCCGGGCGGCGGCGCCGGCGAAGCCCCCGGAGGCCGCGCGCGGCCGCCATCCCCGCTCCCGCGGCCGCCTGTCCCGGCCCAGGGGTGCGCGACGCGCCTCGGTCCCTCGCGGGCAGGCGTTCCCGGGCAGGCGCGCCGCGGGCAGCCGCTCCCGAGGTCCCTTGCGGCGGCGGCGTCCCGGGGGCCTGCGGGGGCCTCGGAGCAAGATGGCGGCGGCGGGGTCCGTGAGGCGCGGGCGGCGGCGACCGCGGCGCCAGTGAGCGGCCCGGGGGCCCGGGCGGCTCCGGGCCGGGGTCCGGCCTCGGGACGGACCATGCTACGCTCCACCGGCTTCTTCCGGGCCATCGACTGCCCCTACTGGGCTGGGGCGCCCGGGGGGCCCTGCCGGCGGCCCTACTGCCACTTCCGGCACCGCGGGGCCCGGGGCCCCGGCGCGCTGGTCGGCGGCGGAGCGGCGCCCCCCGCAGCAGGTAACGCCCGAGCCGGCTCGGCTCCCCGGCCCAGGCCTGGACTCCACGGCCGCGGCCTTCCCGGCGCCGTCGCCTCGGCCCAGCCGCCTCCCCACGCGCTGGCGGGCGTCGTCCCCGCGGCCGGGACCTCCCCCCCCCCCGGGAGCCCGGGAGCCCGGGGCCCGGCGCGGGGTGTCGGGGAGCCTCGGTGCCCGTGGGCGCACGGCGTGAACGGCGGGCGGGGAAGCCGTCCTGGGCCGTCGCGAGGGCGCAGGCACTAACGCAGGCCGAACGCCGAGCGCGGCCGGACTCCGGTGCCCCCCGCCCCCCGCCCCCCCCCCGCGGCGGCCGCTGCCGCGTCGGGCGGTCGTAGCAGCACCCGCTGGAGTCGAGTCGGAGTCCGACGCGGCTGGACCGGGAGGCAGCGGCAGCCGAGCGGCTGGGCGGGCGCGGCGCGGGCTTCCAGGCCTCCCGGGTTTGCGCAGAGGACGTTGGCGGACTGCGCGTCGTCCGTCGTCCCTTCGCGCTGGATGTCACCGTCCTGGCGGTTTGCGGAAGGCCGCGGGTGCGGTGGGCTTCTTGGAGGAGGTGTCACGGGGAGGACTAAGTGCTGCCGTGCCCCTCCCTTCGGGGGGCGGCTCGGGCTCCCTCGGGTGACCTCTGCCCTCCAGGACCCACTTGCCCTTTCCCTCCTCATCGTGTCTCGGCTTCGAGTTTTCTCCCCAAAAAAGCGACCACGGTCTCCGAACCTTCTCCCTCAGGGGGGCGCGACGGCTAGCCTCAACCCAGAGGCCCCTTGCCCCGTGTGGCCAGGAAAAGAAAAGTAGCATTTTCTAATCTCACGGGAATGTGCTCGGGCCCCCTGGCACCTGCAGCTGTTTGCAGCCAGCCCGATGCGAGCAGTGCCCCCCTGTCTGCCTCCGCACCTGTGCGGGGAGCCGGGGGCTTGAGAGCCGCGTGAGCGCCGGGTGTGGCCCCTGGGGAAGCTGGTGTCGGGGAGAAAGGACACGTGTGCCCGCTGGTGCCTGGACGCGGATCATGGTACTCCCGGCTCCGGTGCGGGCCAGGGAGGGCGGGGAGTCGGCGCCCAGCTCTCCCGCTGAAGCGCAGTTTATTTACCGCCTGGTGGAGTGTGTAGCGCTTTGCAGAGAGCCCCCTGATTTCTGGGGTCCTCACGGTGAGTCCAAAGAGGGCAGGACCACACCCTTAGGCCTCTGACACGGTGACTCGGTGACTCGGCCCCAAGTCCACATGTTGCCTTCCAGCCTCCCGAACTCTGGGGTGTTGATTTCTCGCCTCATGCGTTCGTTCTTCCCAGGGTAAGTCACATCGCACATTTCTTCCTGCCTCACAGATGGCCAGTGTGTTTCCCGAAGGATCGTTTTGGGGAACCTGTTTAGTGATGTGGTCCTGTCTGCCCCGCTTGCCGTGGGGGAAAAAACGCAGCCGCCTACCTGTTTCCGCAGAAGGTCTGCGTGTTCCTTTTGCAGGAAAGGAAAGGAAAGGAAAGGAAGGGGGTCTGCTTTCTGGTAGAACCCTGCGTCCCCCTGCAGAGGGGCAGGGTCAGTTCCCAGCTCAGCCTGTTTCTTGCTGGGGAGCCTCTCCGTTTCCTTCTCTGTGGCATGCTCACGGGGTCGCTGCCCTCTCGGGAGGCCAGGGGAGCGTGTGTGCCTCGTCCTTTCCCTCCCTTTCCGCTTCCCCTGCTCCAGACTTTGACAGGCCCCGTTTCCTCTCAGCTGGAAGAGGCTGCAGCAGTCCAGATGTGCAGGCCCAAGCAGAGGTGCTCTGGCAAGGGTGGGCTGGGCCCGGTTTGCTTGAACTCATTTTTAAGCAACAAAGTTGCTAAGGTGCTGGGTGGGAGCCGCCTGCAGGTGGGCTGTGGGGGTCCCTGTGAGGCCCAGCACCTCCAGTCTTGGGCCAGTGGGCACCTGAGCCTTGCAGTGGAGTCTGAGGCCAGTGAGGGGGCTGGGCCGGGATCCTGTCCCTTCCAGCCCTGCCCCCAGCCCACCCCATGTGGGCTGCAGGCTCTCCAGACTCTTGCGTGGTATTGTCCAGTTGGCAGCACACCCTTGGGTAGGCTCTAGGACTCTCAATGGTAGGGATGATTGTCCCCATTTTACAGATGAGCACACTGAGGCCCAGAGATGGGGAGCCACTCTCCTGTGTGTGCATGGCTGGTAAGTGGGGGATGGGATTGAGTCTGGGCAGTCAGGCCCTTGCCCCACTCACCTCTTCCTTCCAGTGCCAGCTGCCGAGCACCTGTGAGTCCCGCACACACCCCAGCACCCCGTGTGTGTCAGCCCATGCTCTGCCCTGGGGCTGGCTGGGAACAGTGAGACCTGGGAAAGAGAGCAGTAGGACGTGAGCGCTGAAACCTGAGGACAGGGGTGGTCATGGCTACGTGGTGGGGGCAGCCCCCCCTCCCTGGGCCTCTTATTAGGCCATGGTTGGGGGGAGCTTATGGTCTGGAGAGCAAGCCTTGTTTCTCAGGGAAGCTCCGAGCCCGGAAGGTCAGGCAGAGAGGGGGATGGAGCCAGAGAACTAAGGCTTCGAGCAAAGGGTGGAATTTCTTTCCTCTGTGTGAGCTGGCTTGGAGCAGGAGGGGTACAGCCGCAGTAACAGGCAGTCCCCAGGGCATGGCTGCGCTGAGCAGATCCGCCGGCCACGCTGCCCCTCAGCTGCTCCCTCCTCGGGCAGGGTGCCAGCGGGTTTCGTGTGGGGGCGACTTCTCACTGTCACGTGATGGTTTCTTCAGAGATGCAGTGGAAGTGTGCTCTCCTGCATCCGGCACTTTCTCAGCACCAGTGAATTCTGCGGAGATTTCTGTCCCCTGATACCGAGAGAGAACAGATCCTGAGAGGACCTCAGCAGCCAGCAGCGTTGCCTGTTGTGCCTGGAGGCCCGGCGGGGGTTGCAAGGAACCTGGAGTGTCTTTGCTAGCCGGTGGGCAGCGTGGCCTTGAGTTCGGCCCACTGGGGCCTCCTGCTTAGTCTGGGGTGGGAGCTCTGAAGCTGCTCAGAGGAACAGTGGGAACTGGACATTGGGCCAGGCCTGCTCTGGGTGGGCAGCATCCCTGGCCCCCGCCTGCTCAATGCCAGGAGCACCCCCAGTTGGGGCGCCCCCTACCCTGGTTGCGATGATGACAGATGTACCTAGGCATCGCCTGGCGTCTCTTGGTCACAGGCTGTTTCTTGCTGAGGCCCCTTTACTTTCTTTTCAAGCGTCACCCCCCCCCCCCCCGCTGCTTCCCCAGGAAGCCACAGCCCCCAGGGACACAGTCGTGCGGGCTCCCAGAGGAGAAGCCTGCAGCACCGTCGGTGCTTCCATTGTCTTGTAGCTCTTGGCTTTCGTGAGGATGGGATTAGAGGCGAGGTGCTGGGGTGTTCAAAGCGCTGAATTCACCACTTACCGCGGGCTGCGTCACAGTTGTGGTTTTGGGCGGCAGAGTCCCAGCCGGTTGAGGCCCACCCGTTGCTTCTGTTCATAGCACTTTTCTTCAGGGCTCAGAGTAATGTTCATTTTTAAAACGTTGGACAATACTGAAAAGTCAGAAGAAACGTGATTTGTAAATCGCCCCGAGTCCTGCCCCTGCCAGCTTGCTGTGCTCCCTCCCCGCCTTCCATAGAAGAGGCTTTGTGCCCTTTGTAGTCGTGATCCTGTGCACTGATTAAGTTGGATTCTGTTTTCTGAGGCGTGAGGCCATCCTGGGACTGTACCTCCCGGGTTCCCACACCTGGCCGCCTCTCTGGATGGCCTGAGAGCCTTTAAAAAACAAAAAACAAAAAACAAAACCCGCCTTCTTGCCCTGATCTTGGCTTGAGCCACACATGTGTTGCTGTGTCTGCCCAGAAAGCTCCTTTTGTTATTTTAATTATTATTTTAAGATTTTTATTTATTTATCCGTGTGAGATAGAGAAGCAGAGCCACAGGCAGAGGGAGAAGCAGGCTCCCTGCGGGGAGCCCGACGTGGGACTCGATCCTGGGTCTCCCGGATCTTACTCTGGGCTGAAGGCGGCGCTAAACCGCTGAGCCACCCAGGCTGCCCTGCTTTTGTTATTTGAAAGTGTATCTGCTTAGTGTTAGCAGAACCTTGAGTCTCTCCCTGCAAACCTGCCCCCAGGATTGGCGCCTGGGGAAGTGTGTGGTTCAGTTCAGTGGTGCCCTGGGGTGGGGGGGAGGCAGGGATGCTGCTCAGCCCCCTGCAGTGCCCAGAGTGCCCCTTTCCCTACACACGCAGGTTTGTCCAGCCCTGAACTGAGATGGAGGAACCTGATGAGCACCCAGCCCCTGGGGCAGCTGAGAGGAGCTTGGGGGACCTGTGCCCCCCAAGTTCTCCAGGGGCTCCAGAGGAGAGGTGCGAGCACCATGGCTGGCTTTCAGCCCTCGAAGGTGGAGGGCAGCCCCAAATGCTGGCATCCGGCTCCCTCTCCGTTTTGCAAAGAGCCTATCTTGGGGGAGGGGTTGGTCTGTCCTCCAGCTGCCGGTGGTGGCTCCTGTGCCTCACTTAGCCCTTCTGTAAAACGGGTGATGACCTGGGCTCTCCATGGACAGTGTCGTGGGAATGCTCTCCTGCGTCGTCGTCCCCACCCACCCCTTGTGCACTCAGGGCCCCCTTTCAGGGTCACACTGGGTGCCACTGAGGTGTGCGCACAGGATTGTCTCAGCTCTCTGCCTGCGTGTGCAGCGGGGCGGCCGGCTGGTGTGGTCTCATTCACACCCGAGAGCCGGATGCTAAGAGGGAAGCGAAGATGGGGAAGGAGGTGCTCGGGTCCCTGGGGCCCCAGTGACCCCGGAGCCATCTGGGGCCTGCGGGGCGTCGGGGGTGGGTGTCTCTGCCTGCTTGCTCTCCCCCTCCCCAATCGCAGCCTTCCTCAGACTTTCTGCCGTGGTTGGCCAGTGTCTTTTTAGGAAGCAGGTGTGTGCTTGCCATTTGAGGGCCTTTGGTCTGGCGGCTTCCCCAGGTACTGAAGTTTTCTGGAAACGGCCGCGTGAGCACCTGGCCACAGCAGGCTGGGTGGGGGGCAAGCAGGAGGAAAAGCCCGGAGCACTTCCAGGGGAAACTGCACGCCCGCTTGTGCTTTAGTTTACAGGACAAAAACAGGGTGGGAGGCTGCTGGGGGGCCCAGAACCTGGGTGCTCTGCGGTGGGGCTTGGGCCTGACACGTGCTTACACGCAGGGGTACCTGGGCCTCGGGGTCTTCTGCAAAATTGGGAGCTAGCCCTGGGACCCTCCTAGGGCTCTTCTGGATGCGTCTGAATTCAGTACCTACCTGTGGGCTGGGGTCCAGGGCAGAGAGCAGGGGTTGCGGGGACATCAGGTAGGTTTCCCCAAATAAATGGTTACGGAGCTGGGCTTTGAAGGATGAGTAGAAGTTTGCCTCGTGGCTGGAAGCAAAGGTGGTGGTGGGGGGATGGTAATCCAGGATTGGGGCAAGGATGCAGCGCAGTGGAAGGCCCGAATGTTCTCTTGTGTGGTTTGGAGGGACTGGGGATAGAGTGGAAGGGCACTTGCTCCCCAGCATTGCTGCTGCCCCCAGCAGGTCCAGCAGGGGTCACTGTTGTCACACTGACTCCTAATCGCCCTAGAGCTTGTTGCTGCTGCTGCTGCTGCTGCTGCTGTCTGGCCACTCAGCCCCGGAAGACGGAAATAGGGGGAAATAGGGGGCTGTGCGTGGAGCCGCTGGATCTCCTGTGTGGCTGCTGGGGGCCGACTGTCCCGTGGGACCGTGTCCTCCAGTCACCACAGGGGCCTGTGTCGCGGGAGTACGTGCACTCAAGGCATGGGGGGCCCGTGACCCTCGGCCAGTATTTCTTTTACTCCCTCCCTCCGTCCACAAAGCTTTGCAGACATTTGTGCCGGCCAGCTCACCGGAGGCCGAGGTGTAGACAGGAGCCAGGTGGTCAGCATGTCGAGCTCCGGGACAGCAGGGGACATGGAGGGCACATCTGGGCAGCACTGGGACTGCATTCACTCCAGGCACATCCTGGTCATGCTTGTCCCTCGGGGCCAGATCCGTCCCTACCCAGTTGGTCACACATCACAGTTGTTTGTCCTGAGAGATGTGTGTCTGATTCTCTAGCCGAGTGGCCCAGAGAGCCCTCAAAGAGCAGGAATGTGGGTACTATTCCAGGAGGCAGGACCCGAAAGCCCTGGGGCCTCCTCCCCAGGCGCCACTGTTACAGCATTGTGCTGGGTACCTAGGGAAGAGCACAGGCCTGCCTGAGCCGCTTAGTCCTACCAGTTCTGCAGGGAGGATCTTGGAGGGCTGCCTGGAGGAGTCGCTGAGGTAGAGGCTATCAGGCTCTGGGCAGGAAGCTGATTCCAAGTATGAAGGAGAAGAGGGGGCTGGCCCACCTGGAAAGCCTACCCTCACCACTCTTCCCCGTCACCTACCTGTGTGGTCAGATAATAAAAGGCACTGATGCTCATGTGTGACTTTGGTGTGTGGGCTTTTTGCTGGGGGACACAGCTAGCTGCCCCCACGTCTTGACTCCATGTTCCAGGAAGAGGATGCTGCAGTGTTCTTGGGCCTCCCGCTGGCCGGGGCACCTCCCAGGAGCCTGTGGTGTGGAGGAAGGTGACCCCCGGGATAGCCACTGGCCACCCGTGTTTGGGGAGTTGGAAGCGTCCCAGGACCGGAGTGAGAGAATCTGTAAAATGTTCTGTTTGGGGACCGTGAAAGCAATTTTGTGCCCCCCACACCCCAGGGGGCATAACCAGCCCAGTTGGGGATCCCTGGGTGGCGCAGCGGTTTGGCGCCTGCCTTTGGCCCAGGGCGCGATCCTGGAGACCCGGGATCGAATCCCACATCGGGCTCCCGGTGCATGGAGCCTGCTTCTCCCTCTGCCTGTGTCTCTGCCTCTCTCTCTCTCTCTCTCTCTCTCTCTCTGTGACTATCATAAATAAATAAAAGTTAAAAAAAAAATAACCAGCCCAGTTATGAGGGCAGCAGAGAGGAGGCCCCCTGCCGGGAGGCCCGTGTGACCACCACAGCCGGTCCCTCTGGCGCTCTTCTGCGTTTTCTTTTTTCTTTTTTTTTCTTCTTCTGCATTTTCATGCTCTTCTGTGTCTTCCTGGGTTTCCTTTGGTTTTTATCCTGCCCCGCATGCTTCCCTGCATGTTTGCAGCGTAGCTGAGCCCCCGGTGTGTTTACGATGGCAAGCAGGCTGTGTGCCG